CAAACAGACTCTAGAAATTAGCATGCAGGGCGATTATTAGGGAATAATTTGGGGATCAACACTGTGGAAGGGAAGGGAAGGAAATGGGACTGAGCAAAGGGAGCAATCAGTGTGTGGTAAGGGCCTAACAACAGCCTCAGCTAACCCGAAGGCCACAGTGGGATGGGATGGCCCTTCAGAATTATCTTGCATTGGGGCAAAGTGGTTCGGCCTTTATACCCGTATGTTGGCCACTCCTTAGATGCAAGCTGCTCCTGGAAGATCTTGGGACCTTGGGTAAGCAGTTTTCTTTAGGGGAGGAAACCCCCCAAGCTAAGGCTGTCTTCCAACAGCTGGGGGCATAAGTTCTTCATTTCTGGAGTGGGGTCTGGTAGGTACCTCACAGTGCCACCCACAGACCTTAATATATATGAAGAACTTAGTATCTGTTGTAAGAGGGAAAGGAAAGCTTACTGGATAAATGACGCTGGAACAAGTGATTATAATGATGTGGGAAAAATACATGATTAGACCCTTACCTTATATCTTATCCCACATTAATTTCTGATAGATCAAAGAGTTAAATGAAAAGAAAACAAAAAGTAGTTAAGTATTTATCAGATAGAAGGAGAGGGAAAACCTTAGAAGTAAGGTAAGATGATGTGAAGAAAATGATCAATAGATTTGATTACGTAAAAACAGCAAAAGCATTACATTAAAAATTTCACACAAATTAAAAGGCAAACAACAAACTGGAAACATATTTGCAATAAACACAGCCAAAAATTTTAATATAAAAGAGCTCCTGCAAATCAGAAAGAAAAACCCAACATTTCCTTCAGAAGCACAAATGAAATACAACTTTATAGGATGGATATCATTTTTTTTTAAAGTGTTAGCAAGGATGTGGAGAAATTGGAACCCTTGTGCATTGTTTGGCGAATGTACAATGGTGCAGTGGCTGTGGAAAACAGTATTGGAGTTCCTCAGAAAATTAAACATAGGATTACTGGATAATCCTGAAATTTCATTTCTGGATATATACCCAGAAGAATTGAAAACAAGGCTTGAATAGATATTTGTGCATCTATATTCATAGCAGCATTATTCACAATAGCCAAAAGGTGGAAACAACCCAATTGTCTATCAACAGATGAATGGATAAACAAAATGTGGCATATACATACAATGAAATATTATTCAGCCTTAAAACAGGAAGGAAATTCTGATCCATGTTACAGCATACCAATTTCCAGGACTGCTAAAGGCCAAGGATGAACCTTGAGGACATTAAGCTAAATGCCAGACACAAAAGGTCAGCTATTGTATCATTCCACTATACGAGGTACCTAGAATAATTAAGTTCATAGAGTCAGGAAGTAGAACAGTGGTTACCAGGGGCTGAGGGGAAGAGGGAATGAGGAGTTAGTGTTTAATGGGTGCAGAGTTTCTGTGCAGAAGGTGAAAAAGTTCTGGAGGTGGATGGTGGTGATGGCTGTACAACAATGTAAAGCTACTTAATGCCACTGAAATGTACACTTAAAATGGTTTAAATGGTGAATTTTATGTTACATATATTTACCACAATTTAAAAAAGAAAAATATCCCAACACTTCCACATTGAAATGTGAGCAAAAAAAAAAAGAAAAGAAATGTGAGCAAACAAAAGGTGTAAATAGGCAATTTACAAAATAACTACAAGAAAATGATCTACAGGTTCATAAAACATTTAATTTTATAAGTAATTTGAGGAGTTATAAATGAAAAGATCAAGGTATCATTTGTCATCTACACAATTACAGAAATTATTTAATGTTAATATTTAATTGTAGTGTTAGTATTATAACATGGGTATGCTCATAGTGGGAGTATAAATGTGTACACACCTCCTGGAAAGCATCTTGCAAATTATGCCAAAACTGTTTTAAATAGCCACATTCACTGACCCCAAATCCAACCTTTAGGAATCTATTCTAAGGAAATAATTGGTAATACAGGCATCTGGATAATGACAGAAGGTACCACTTGAACAAAGCTTGGTGAAGTGAGGGAGCATACACTGCAAATATTTGTAGCCGAGAATTCCAGAGAAAGAGAGCAGCAAGTGCCAAGAGCCCAGGACTGGACTATACCAGGTGTGTTTGATAACAGCAAGAAGGCCAGTGTGTCTGGCTGGCGTGGAGTGACAATTAACCTGAGGTGAAAATGTTTTAATGGACAATGGAAACATTAGCAAAACTGTTCTGTAAAGTGCGTGCCACAGTTGCTGTCAATTGCCATGAGAGTTTTAAACCAAGGAATAAAACACTCTTAAAGAAGCCAATTTGTTAACAGTCTCCATGTTGGGCCTTGCACTTGAATCCGTGTGCTTTTACCCACTCTGCAAGACTATCCAAATTACTGTTGATAACCCTTTGCCTATACCAAACCTAGATTAATTCCTCTTTTTTATTTATAAGCTTACCCCACAACATGGGCCCAATAAATAGGGCTCTTACAATACTACTGAGCACATGAAGAAAATATAAAGCATGTTAATTATGTCTGTTTTGAACATCCATCAAAGCTTCAGAGTGCCATGTCATGGGTTATGAGATGGGGGAGCAAACCTTTGGTTTACTTAGCAGTCAAAAAGACACAGGTCAATTTTATTCTTCTGAATTTGGGGCCCAGTGTCAGAAAATAGCAACATCAAAAAGAGTTGTTGCTACATAATAATGCAGGTACCTGAGAATAGTAAATGGTTATAGTGTTGGCTGTACTGTTAATTAAACAAACTGTCCTTTACATGGCATAGCAGAAGGTAACGCAACATTCAGCATTTTCAGTTTTCTTTTAGAAGTGAGGACTCTCCTATGATTCTATTCATTTGCTTATCATTGTCTATGGTCATGAAATTTCAAAAAACAGCAAAAAAGCATGTAAGTGAATAGACCCCATTAACATTACTTATTTAGATTAGGTGAAATAATAACCCTCTATTATTTGGTAAAATAGGCAGAAAGCAGAACTTTTTACCATATCATGTTGAAAACAGTGTTATTCAAAGATCATTTCTCTTCCAAGCTACCAATGCCTTTCCTATTATACATATATCTTTTAAAAATTAATTTAAAAATATATTTTATATGTAGGTATTTTAAGTGTGCATGCATATATAGTTATAGTAAATGATGGCAAATGAAAATACCTGAAGCTTTAAACTTTAGTATTTAAAATATAATCTTATTAAGTATATTATAAGATAAAATTCTTAATACATTGATTTTGAACCTCTTAATTTGAATATCATAAAAAAATATGTTTCTATAGACAAGAAAATGTAAGTAACAATAATTGTGTGTTAATGAGAGATTTTTGCTCTGTTTTTAATGAAATTAATTTCCTCAAAATCTTTTAGTTCAGGGCCGGCCGAGTGGCGTGATGGTTAAGAGCTGGCTTGGGACGCCAGAGGGCCCCGGTTCGGATCCCACGTATGAGGGCCAGTGACACTGCCCTCCACAGCTAAGATGCTGAACAACAGCTCAACCTGGAGCTGGGCTGCCGGGAGTCGCCGGCAACGGCGTGGGCTGCAGCCCCTGTGGCAGTGGGTTGCCATGGGCTACCGTATGTAGCCAGCAGCCAGTGGGAGCGGCCAGCAGCCGCAGTGAGTGGCCGTCCAGAAGCCGGCGACTGATCTGCCTCGCCCAGGAAGAGCGCAATGATGGTGCCAACTTGGGCCAGTGAAGCAACGTCCTCCACAACTAGACTGAAGAACTAAACCACAGCAACTTGTCTGTTCCCCTTCCCCCAATTCCCCAGCACTGTTCCCATCACCCCAATTCCCCAATAAAAATCTTTTTAAAAAAAATGTTCTAGTTCATTTTGTCCTACTCAAAGTAGGAATCTTGGAACTACACATTTTATCCATGTTGAAGAATAATCCAATCTCTATCGAAATTAAAGTGACATTTAAAATGGCCATTATACTTCCACACATAGGAACTCTGACAATATATGCAATTGCTGCATCTCAGCAGACTCCCCATCTGTTGGTGGTAGCAGTTCTGAGGCTATTTGGTGGTGCCTGGGTCACAGGCCTGTGTGCTAGCTGCAAGAGAGGCTTTGCATGTGAGTGCCTGGCATTTTCAGCTCCAACAAGGATGGGGAAATGATCTTTGCCCTTCATCAAGACTCACAGTGCAGGGAATCCTCCAAACACAGAGGGGTTCAGATGCTCAGTGGCTAAAACAAATGACAAATGTCTGCTGCATGCAACAGAAAACCCAGTTATGTTTCTCACAGTAAGCAGCTCAGAGGGAGGCAGTTCAAGGCTTGGGCAAAGACTCAACAATGTCCTCAATGTCACTCTGTTTGTGTAACGTGTTGACTTATTGCCTAATAGGTCCAATATGGCACCCTCAGCCAGCAGATCTAGGTTCAAGACAGGAAGAGGGGGACAGCGCTATGTCAACTGCGTCCTTTCCCCCCTTTCATCAGCAAGGCCAAAGCTTTTCTAGAAAGCCTCAACAGACACCTACTTACATCTCATTGACCAGAATTGTCATGAAGCCAACCCTGGAAATAAGGGAAGCTGGAAAATTAATTAGCGGCCCTTCTCCCAAAGTGGAATTTTGTAATAACAAAAAGGAAAAAATGGAGATAGGGTGAGCAATGAGCTCTGCTTCAATTAACACAGAGCCTGAAAGTGTTCTCAGAATCACCTACCTTTTCCCCATGTGTTTCTCTAATCTCATGTAGTCTGGAAGCAACCTCCTCGCAGGGGCAGGAGCTCTCAGTCCCCAGCACAAGTGGGAGTGGGGTGGATTTGCTGCTGGAAGTGACAGTCACAGGCTGCAGACAGTTCTGCTGAAGAGTCCCTGTCCCCCACTCTCCTCAGCCTCTGTGATGTCACATTGGGACTTCTTTCCTTCTGCCCTGAGCTGTGGCTTCTGAGGTCGCTGTGGCCATGGGGCTCCTGAAGTCAGCAGGGGGAAGCAAACCTGGTGGCTCTGATCCCTGGGGGCACGGGAGGTCCAGCCATGCCGCTCTTGAAGGAGCCCCCTCCCCCGCCTCAGGCCCCACTTCCCTGGATCCTCCCAAGCCTGTTTGCTGCCTTCAATGTCATGCTGTTGGTGGTTTTCAGTGGACTCTTTTTTGCATTCCCGTGAGTCTACCACACGAGCTGGCAGATTTCTTACAGAAAGAAAAAGGAAAACAGATAATGGTAGTATGGATGCAGGGGAAGTTCAGAAGAGGGGTCAGAGAAGGAAGATATTCTAAGCAGAGGAAACTGAATGTGCAAAGACACGGGTGTATAGAGTACTTGGTGCATTTGGGAGCTGCAGGTAGCTGGTAGTACTGGGAAACATTTGGTGGAACCTGTATGGATCTGTCAATAGCCTGGATGTTTAGAGCAAGCTTTAAGGTCTGGGGGTCCTGAAAGGTGAACTGGGTCCTGACGGGAGCTTCTAGCCACCCCAGATCAGGGCTGAGTCCTGCTCTGCTCTCAGTTGCAGGTGGCTGGCCCAGAATGGGGAATGGGCCTTTCCCATCATCACAGGTCTCCTCTTTGTCCTCACCTTCTTCAGTCTCGTTTCACTCAACTTCTCAGACCCTGGCATCTTGCATCAAGGTGAGACCTGGGCCCAGAAGGAGGTAGCAGCACCCTAAGGGCTCCTGCCTACAGGGATGCTTCCTCAAGTACCCCTCCCATCTCTTCTCCTGGGACCTCAGGACCCCTTCACCCCATGTCCTCATTTGCTCCGGCCCTGCTTCTGGCACTTTATTTTCCAAGCTGCTACAATGTGGCAAAACAGAATTTCCAGCTGCCTTAGAGAGGTGAGCAGGGGAGGTCAGGGAGAGAAGCCCGCTCTTCACAACCACTCGGTTCTTTTCTTCTCCTTCCCACGGCACAAACTCCTTAAAGCATCAATCATGATTCCGAAGACCTGAGTTCTCACAGAACTCCTTTTGCGGAAACTCACCTTCCCTTTGGCTGCCAGCCTCTCCGAGCTTCATCGGCTTGCTCAGCGGGGACTAAGGATTCCCCTGCCCACCCCCTCCTCACCCTTCCTGGAACCCAGTGATGCTGTGAGGCTTCCCCTGGCCCCCAAGCCACCAGCAACACACTGATGGAAAAGCCTCCTGGTGCTGCCCAATCCTCTTCCCATGCCAGGCTCCAAAGAACAGGGTCCCATGATGGTACATGTAGTATGGGTGAACCACAGGGCCTTCCGCCTGCAGTGGTGCCAGAAGTGTTGCTTCCACCGCCCACCCCGGACCTACCACTGCCCCTGGTGCAACATCTGTGTGGAGGTGAGTGTCCCTCTCGCCTGCTCACCCCCTCACCCCGCCCAGCACCTGGCCGGGACCAGGAGGCCCACTAACATGGTGGACAGTGGCGGGCATGAAACCACTTCCAGGACTGCTAAAGGCCAAGGGTGGCAGTAACTCCTAGCCATTCTTGGTCACTCATGCAGGTCACTGCCTCTGTGCCTACACCTGTCCTGGGAGGCTGGCCCTTGCCTGCACAGGTGCTGATACACACAAGGGTTTCCACATCTATGCTGGGTTTGGTCAGGCCAGGAGGAAGGAAGTCACCCCATTCGGCCCCCAGGCTCACCGACGTTAGATACCCAAGGCCCTCAGACTGGCTGTGACCCTGGCCTGGGAGCTTTGCCTGTCCTCCTCTGGGTGCCTGCTGGGCTCTGAATGCTTGTCTCTCTCGCTTGCACTGCCCGCGAAGGTCTACAAATGTGCTGTCTTATGTGGAATGCTGGAATGCTGGCTGGGCAAGGGTGTTATTATTCTCATCGGATGGATGAGAAAACATGCCCAAGGATACTCTCTGTCCTGCCCAAAGTTACACCAGGATGTGTCCCACAGAAGACCAGACAGGCCTTGTCCCTAAAGGCCTCTTGACAGGTGACCTTGTGAGCCACAGAGCCCTAGCAGTGCTCTAACCACTGAAAAGCTAACGTTAGGGACTTTGAGGCTCAGTTGGGAGCCCCGGGAGGGCAGTGCATGGGGGTCAAGGGCCGGTGGCTTAGGGAGTGGAAGTAAGGCCACAGATTTAGAGGCGACTGAACCTGGGCCAGAGGTCGGGTCCTGGAGGTCTGGCCCCTCTCCACCAGGATTTTGACCATCACTGCAATTGGGTCAATAACTGCATCGGTCACCGCAACTTCCGCTTCTTTATGCTGCTCATCCTGTCCCTATGCCTCTACTCTGGTGCCGTGCTGGTCACCTGCCTGATCTTCCTGCTGCGCACGACCCACCAGCCCTTCTGCATAGACAGGGTCGTCGCGTATCCTCCAGCCCCACGTGGGGAGCAGTGGGGAGCGTCGGGACAGCCGAGGGGCGGGGTCTCGGTGGTCGAACTAATGGTGGGCGGGGCTGCTTGGGTGGACCAACCTGGGACTAGGTGAGGGTGGGTGGGGCCAGGGAGATGGTTGGGGCTAGGAGGAACTGCGAAGAGGTAAGACATCTAGCAGGGTTATGATTAGTGGGTGCTAAAGGTATCACGGGGTGAAGGTGAAGTTTACACGGGGTTGGAGCAAGGGGAGCGAATGGAGGAGGCTGGTTGTGGGCAGGGCTGTTTGGGCGGAGTCGGGGTGGGGCCAGGGAACACGGTCCCGCGGGGTTGCTCCTTACCTGTTGTGCAGCATCGTGGTGGCTGTACCCGCCGCTGGCTTCTTGGTGCCGCTCTCCCTGCTGCTGCTGATCCAGGCCATGTCGGTGAGCGCGGCGGAGCGCTCCTACGAGGGCAAGGTATGCAGGGCCAGAGCGGGGCGTCACGATACCAGGCTGTGGGTGGTTATGTTGCGCCTCCCATACTTCGGCACTTTTCCGCCCTTTCTCTACCACCCTGGTCCTTGATGGCCTGAACTCCCTCGAAGGTGCCTCATTAGCCCGTCCAGACCCAGATTCAGCTCAAATTTCGCCTCCTCGTGGACCTTGGTGGTCACTTCTTCTTCTGGGTGCACTGCATCGAGGGCCTACTGTGTGCTGGGCTACGTGTGCATTATTTTGAGTGATGGGCGTAGAGGTGAGTAATGCTACATACTGCGCTTTTGTTGGTAGAGCACCTGAAATCAGAATAATACCCTCCAGACACGTGTGAACACTCTGAGGGGCTCCCCTATGTTGAGCAGCACAGATGCAGAGAGGGAATTGAGAGTTCAGGGAGGACCGCAGTGCAGAGTAGTACTTACCACGTAGTGGTTTTGGATAGGCAGAAGACAGGAGGGCTTGCAGGTGAGGGGCCAGCTTGCAAAAAGGCAAGGAAGCCTGAAGGTCTGCTGAATGAGGATAGGATGGTGAAGAAACAGTCTTAACTGGAGCAGAAGATAGCATAGAAGTCAAGAGGACTGCTTGGGGTTGGCCAAATTTAAAAGGCCCAGAAAGTCAGGTGGAGAATTTAGTCTTGGTGCAGTGGAAATCTGGGAGCCATGATAGGATTCTCTTTTTAACACACAGGAAAATTCGCTCTTTTTTAGTGCACAGTTATATAAGTTTTGACAAACACAGTTCTGTAACCACCACCATAACCAAGATTTAGAACAGTTCCATCACCGCCCAAAAATTTCCTCATGGCCTTTTGCAGTCAGTTTCTTTCCTAGCCTATAGCTCCACTGATCTGTTTCCTATCCCTATGGTTTTCCCTTTTCCTGAGTCTCATATGAATGGAAACATACCTTTTTGAGTCTAGCTTCTTTCACCTAGCATAATGCATTTGAGATTTATCTATGCTGTTGCCCATATCAGTAGTTTCTCCCTTTTAGTGCTGTATAGGGTTAAATTTTGTATTGCAAGGTATGGATCAAGCTTTATTTTTTTGCATCTAGGTTTTTCCAGCATCATTTGTTGAAAACACTATCCTTCCATTGAGTTGTCTTTGCACATTTGTCAAAAATCAATTGACTATATAGATGTGGATGTATTTTTGGGTTCTCTATTGTTTTGCCAATGCCACACTCTTCATTAGTAGCTTTATATTAAGTTTTGGAATCACATAATGTGAGTTTTTTAACTTTGTTCTTCTTTTTCAAAGTATCTTTTGACTATCCTAATTTCTTTGATTTTTCATATAAATTTTAGAATCAGCTTGTCAATTTTTACAAAAAAGTTTGCTGAGATTTTCATTTGGATGACGTTGAACCTATAGGTCAATTTGGAAAATTGATATTTTAACAATATTGAGTTTTTGAATTCAAGAACATGGTATATCCATTTATTTAGGTCTTCTTTGATTTATTTTATTAGTGTTTTTCAGTTCTCAGCAAATAGGTCTTGCATATATTGTGTTAGATTTTTTTCTAAGCATTTAATGTTTTTTGTGCTATTATAAGTTTTAAACAAAATTTTACTTCTATTTGTTTATTATTACAGTCATACACTTAACTATGGGATTACATATGAGAAATGCATCATTAGGCAAGTTTGTTGTTGTGTAAACATCATAGAATGCACTTATACAAACCTACATGGTATAGCCCACTACACACCTAGGTATAGCTTATTGCTCCTAGACTACAAACTTTTACAGCATGTTACTGAACAGTGTAGGTAATTGTAATGTGTTGCACTATGACATTATGATGGCTATAATGTCACTAGATGATAGGAATTTTTCAACTCCATTATAGTCTAATGGGACCACCATGGTGTATCCTGTCTTCTATTGACCAAAATGTAGTTATGCAGCACATGACTGATAGAATGGGTAAGAAAATACAATGGATTTTCTTATATTGGTCTTGGATCTTGCAATTCTGCTAGATTCACTTATTAGTTCTAATAGCTTTTTTGTTGATTCTACATAGAAAATCATATTATCTGTGAATCAAGACAGTTTCTTTTCTTCCTTTCCAACATGTATGGCTTTCTTTCTTTTTTTATTCTTACTGCACTGTTTTTTTGGGTTTTTTTTGTACAGTGCAGTACAGTACAATGTTGAGGAGGAGTGGTAAAAGCGAATATCCTTGCCATGGGATTCCTTCAGCAGGACAATGACTTGTCTAAGGGCTTTAGGAAGACTGTAGTGTGCCACTTAGGCGAGGGAGGGGCTGGAGTCATTGAGAAAGCTGATAGGACAGGGAAGCCCTGTTTGCCTACCGTCTCCCATCCTTCCAGTCACCACTGAAGCACTCTACCCCACCCACAAATGGTTCCCAGCCCACCTGTGACTCCTCTGCTCAGCCCTTACTCATCAGCCCCCGTGGTCTACATGTCTACTCTCTCAAGCCTCAGTCCATCATTTCAGCCTGTCTTGGGCAGCATTCTGTGGTTTGCTAACCCCAGGTCAGGCCATAGGACTGCCCTCTCTCCACTGCTCAGAACGAGGCCCTCCCTATCCAGGATCTCCAACCTAAGAAATCTAAATGTGGTCTGTACTCTGATTCACCAGGCAAGGCTTTTCCCATTATCTGCAGACCCCATTTCAGGTACCTCCATCCTACTTCCATCCAGTGACCACAACTTCTGCTGGGGCCATCTTGCTTGGTGTTTGATAGCAAGGACTCTGGAGCCAGACCACATAAATTCAAATCACAATTCCACAACATACCAGCAGGGAGATCTTGAATGTGTTATTTAGTCACTTGGTGCCTCAGTTTCTCCATCTGTAAAGGGGGGGCAACATGGGTTAATAAGCATAAGACACATGGAATAGTAGCTAGAGAAGTAAGTGCTGTATACACTGTTATTATTGTTATCACTTCTTCCCATCATCATTTATACATATTCATGTCTCTCTCATCTTAAAAGCAAAGTAAAACCTTCCCTTAAGATCATAGGCCTCCACTCCACCGGCTGCACTCTCCCTTCCAGCTCTGCCATATTTCCTGAAAGAGTGGGCTGTGCTCACTAGTGCCATTCTTCACCTTCCTTGGCCCACTTCAGCCCGGCCTCTGTCCTCACTGTCACCCTGAAGCTGCACATTGCAAGTAGCCAAAGTCGGCAGGCAGCCCTCAGACTAACCTTTCCCGACTGCACACAGCAGCGTCTGAAACTGAATGTGCCTGCAGTGGCCCTTCCCCAGCCTCTCTGGCCCAGCTTTCTCTGCTTCCTGGGTGGCTGCTCTGCCTGCACCTAGCAGTCCTGGCCTGCTGCCTGCTCTTCCAGCAGTCCACTGCCTGGAACATTGTTAAAGTCCCTCAATATTTATGAGTAAATGAGTGAACCTACAAACAAAGGAATCCATAATGCTTTGAGAGAGAAGGAGAGAGAGAGAAGCCTGATGCCCTGACCCCTGGGAGAAAGGGATGGAGCTAAGGAGGGAGTTGGGCAGGAGATGGGGTGAGAAAACGCCCACTTTGGCTTTAGTCCTGTGGATTGTAAGGGCGGAACATGGTATTGGAACAGGAGACCCAGGTCTAGAGCCAGTGAGAGAGGATAGTCTGAAAACTTAAGAGCTGTCGGATTCCATTTATGTCTGAGAGGGTCCCATGTGAGGAGAGAGAGGAAGGCGCTCTGCTTTATGAATTTATTAAATAATTATCCTTCCTTTAAGCATTGCACCATTGACATTTTTCTACACTTCATATACATGTAATAAATCAACATTTATTTCTCTAAAATTCTGATTGTAAATTTGATCAAACACTTCAAGCCATTTAACTAAAATTGTGACTATCACATCAGTTTCCCTTAAATGCTCTAAATACCTTTAAGTAGGCAGAACTCAAAATATCACAATGGTTAGTGTTGCTTTTTGGCAGCAAAGGACATTCTGGATCTGTCTTGATTTTTCCTCCCCCAGGTGTCAGCTTCCCTACATGGAATCCTGGTTCCTTTTGGTGGAGAATAGTGTTGAAGATCAGTGTCTTAGTAACAGGGGAACTGGTGGTGCTTTTGGTCATGACAAACATTTTGGTCATGACAAACATTTTGTAGCTAAGGCTCTTGAAGTCTGAGTGAGACTCAGCCTGCAGGAGGGAGGAGGAGGGGGCTCAGGAAGGGGGTGAGGTCCATGGGTGAAGGGAGGGGGGAGGGAGGAGGAGAACCTGGTCAAGAGTGCCCAGGGGAGGACTTGACCTTTGTGCTTGACCTTTACTCCACTGGGTGCTCAGGACCTTCAGCCCAGATCTTCCAGGGCCATATGATTTTGGTTGGGGAAATATGATTGTGCCCCATACAACTGCCCTTCCAGATGGTGAGATTCAGTGAAGCACAAGTTTAGAAAAAAATGAGATGGGAAATTATTGAAGTGGTGGGAGCTGGGTGTGTATGAGTGTGTGTGTGTGTGTGTGTGTGTGAGTGTGTGTGTGTGTGTATCTGTCTCTGAAGCAGTTTGACATCAAAAGGAAGATCTGAACATCTGTCTGGAAGGACATAGCAGGAGGATGTATATGGCCAAAGGAGACAGATATGGGGAAGATACTGCAAAGGGAGTAAAAGGCTATGGGAAAGATTCTTGAAAAGGCAGGAGAGGTGGGCGCAGTACCAGGGTTGCCTGGAGAGAGCCCTCAAAAGTGGGTTGGGAGAGGCCTCTGCTCAGCCCTGGGCTGGGCTGGGCTGACTGGCTCAGGGAGGCAGGGCTAGTGGGGGTGGCCTGCCCAGTGCTGCTGGCCCTGAGATCTTCCTCCCACCCTTACCCCTCTCCAGTGCCGATACCTGCAGGGATACAACCCCTTCGACCATGGTTGTGCCAGCAACTGGTATTTAACAATTTGTGCACCGCTGGGACCCAAGTGAGTTGGCAAACCAGAGGTCTGCGCAGTGGCCCCTGGGGCTGGTGGGGTGGCGTGAAGCTGAGTCATCTTCCCTGGCCTTTCAGCTCAGCTCCCAGGCCTTTACACTCGCTGTTCTTATTCCTCTGGAGTTTCCTCCAGGATATTGTGGAAGCCTCGGGAGCCTCCCCACTTCCTTGCCTCTGTGCATTTTTGTCCCAAGAAATGGGGTAGAGGGACACTGCAGTCTAGATGAGACTGGCCTCAGCCCCCTGCAGGGCCAATCTCTGGGATGTGTGCTTCCTAAACTGAGGAGGTATGGGGTCCAGGCGAAGGGGGGCACTACCCCTGGCATCTGACTCATTGCTCCCCAGGTACATGACTGAAGCTGTCTGGCTGCAGAGAGTGGTGGAGCCTGACTGGGTGCCCATGCAGAACCTGCACTTGCCGATGTGCCCCTCTTCACTCAGTACCGCAGTCCTCCCTAGGCCTGGGTCTGGCTGCCAGCCCCAACCTCTGGCTCTCTACAAGCCAGGAAAGGGTCCCCCAGGGAGTGGTGAGGCTGC